TGGTGCATCAGCCTCTGTACGCTGGCTGGTCACTGCCATTAGAGCTTCTGAGAGTGTAAAACAATCTGCTGTGTGTTTTGCTCCCAGGCATTTCAGCTCATCAGAGCCTGCAGAGTGCTTTTTGCTGTATTCAAGTACATGGAGGGGTAGCACACACAGACAGGGGGATGCAAACCTGGCCTTGCATGTAACTGGAAGCGACTTAAATGTCCTGTTTATAAACCATTTTTTCCACTCGGAGCTAAACGCAGTTAGGAGCGGGGAAGGAGACATGAGTAGGGTGATGTGGAGGTAACTTTGGCATCTTGTGTATGTAAAATTAAATTATGAGCAGCTTCTTATGAACTGCCAGTAAGCAAGCCATGCTCCCTTCATTACAGAAAAATATAGGCATTAAACCCCACCTGGGCAAGGGCAGAATCCTGGCTGGGCTGAGCTGGTGTGGCAGCTTTGGTGGTCAGGTCAGGAATTCACTGGTGACCATTTGGGAAGATCTGGTCCCAGAATTGCGGTTTGCCTCTCTGCCCTTATCACAGGAGGGCTCTGTGAGGCAGCAGTGAAATCAAGCACCCAAGGGAGCACCCAAGGCTCCCTTCCATGTACTCCTGAGAAAAACTGATTTCACACCCCCATGGGGGCATGGTTTGTGTGTGTCACTTCTTCCTCGTCCCCTGAGATGACAGCTGATGGGTAGTGGCCTGTTTTATAGCTTTTTCTTTTTCACAAATGCAAATTATCCCAGATTTGAAGGCCATGGAGCTACTTCCCAACTCATTACCCAAATGCCACAGGAAATCTGGTAAATAGACACTTTCTATGAAACAACCCGAGTGAGTTATTTAGGAACTGCAGATGTTCTGGTTGTAAAGAAAAGGTGTGTAGTCAGGGGAAGGGGCTGGGTGTTTGTTTTAGAGCTTCTGAAACTGAAAAACTCCTCCTTGTTGAGACGCAGTAACATCCTAAAACCTATCCTGCAGGGAACAGGCAAAGCTAAATCAGCTGCAGATAGAACAGTCTCCTGGAAAGAGCAGCAGATCCTTATCAGAACACCAAGGCAAAAATGAAAAACTGAGATGGAGAGGGGTGTGGGTCACAGCCCTGGTGAGCACTGAGCCTGGAGTAAGATACAACAGCGGGGATTGCAGTGCAGATAGATGGGGGATAGTTTTCTTTCCCCAGGTGGTGTTCCTTCCTTTGGCCATGCCAGCCAGGTGTTCTTGGCAGGAACACCACCACGTGCAAGAGCTTCCCTCTAGCCTCTCTCAGTCTTTCAGATGGAGTGCTATAAAGGTGAGGCAGGAATCCATCCTAAGTTAATCCTAAAAAAATGAATTCTGGCTGATCCAGTGGCTCTGATTTTCCCACAAGCTTTTCTGAGGTTCAGATGTTTTTTGTCCTGGAACAGTTCTGCTTTTTAAGAGTTTCTGGGCAAAGTAGCTGCAGTAGCTCCTCCACAGATAGGAGTCACTGTGCAGGGAGCCTTGGAGAGCCCTGTCCTGCAAAGGGGTACAGATACAACCAGTGTCTGACATCCTTAGTTTCAATAGGGAAAATAAAACCAGAAAAAAAGCAGCAGTTTCCTCCCGTGCAAGGGATTAGAAGAGGCCTTGAGGTACAGATTGAGACATCAGTTGGCAGCCTTTGGAATCCTGAGCCTCCCCAGCCTCAGGGTGTTGCCAAGGCCTGGCTGCTGCCTCGGGAAGCTGTGAGGTGCAGGAGAGCGACTCCAAGGAAGCCTCTGGAAGCGCGTTCTGGAGCATGGAGCTGTCTGACTGGAGCAGTGCAATCGCTGCATGAAACAAAGCACCGATAAAAATAGTGTGTTTTCTTGCCATGCTTCATTTCCTTCTGGATGGTCTCAAAATGTCCCTGTTTGATTCTTTTCTTTGTACAACTTCAGTGAGTCATTGTGATCACAGCGCTCTGGCAGCATTTTGAAAAGCTCTGAAATACAGAATATTTCCCGGGAATTGCCAAATGTTTTACATGGAAGCAGCTACATTCTGGGTAGCCTGGACATGATCTTCCTATTTTTTTTCTCTATATACCGCCTTCCTATGAGAGGTACTCATATATTAAAATAATTGCCCAGTGCTTCATGTTTTTTTGAGAAGTAATAGTGTGCTATGATCACTCCCTTCCCCCTAAAAAGTGTTCCCTCCTCCCCCTGACTGTTCATTTTTAGATAATAAAGGAATCATAGTCCTGCTCTGTACACAGACTGTTTAAGACTAAGCATCTCTGTCCTCTTCCCATGTCTCTAAGCATCTTTGGAAAATAAATCCATCACTCTTTGCAGGATACCAAGTGCCCTGTAAGAGTCTATTCACTGGAATAGATCATGTACAGGGCGTTATCACTAATCCCTGGGACATTTCCTCAAGCAGAGGTGTGAGACACGTCCAGGATGACTTGCCCACACGAATGCAAAGCTCTCCATAGAGTGAAGGCTTTTATCACCCTGCTAAAGCTGCATGTTATAGCCACTTTGCACACTGAGATGGGGTATGTGCTATAAAAAAGGACTACTGAACTGTGTTTGCTGCCCTGAATTTCTCCCTGAGCACACACATACCTGGCTGGGTTTCCTGAGCTGTAGGTTTGTTTTTAGCTCCGCGGTATCCCTTGATAACCCTCAATACCCCCACCAGCTTTCCTGGTCTGTGTCGTTGCTTTCCTAGTGCAGGACATGTCTGCCTGTGAGGGAGATCTTACACACCAGTTTTGCTTGGTCATTTTTGTAAAACACGCTTGCCTTGGCCATACATTTTTGCTATAATATATAAAAAAATTAACTTTTTCCTTTTTGGACAAGCTGCCTGTTGGGAGGAGGGTGGTGCAGCTTGTGCCTGCTGCATTAGGATGTGGTGAGGACGCACAGTTTGAGTTTCAGGGGCAGTTGCAGAGCCCTATATCTAAGACAGCTCTGCCATTACCTGTGATGAGGTGCTTAACGTGGGCATCTGGGCCTGACATGCACTGCTGGCAAAGATTAATTGTCCAGACAGATGCTGCTGTCCAGACAAACATCTCGCAGGTATGCAGGCCATATGTTCCTTCAGCACTAATGCTGCCCTGTCTCAGTGCTTGAAGGATACTTTATCTCTGATATTGGCCAAGGCAGTTAGAGAAGAGCAGAGAAAATGTCCTGACCCTTGGTGTCACCGTTGTCTCTGTCTCAGTAGTCACGGCTTCTAGCAGGATCAGAGCCCAGGGCATGTTTTAGGAGCCTTGTCTGATTTTTCTTTTCTGTTTCCAGAACACTTGGTTTTTGGATTTATCTTCATAAAACCTTGGCTGTCTAGATTTTGATTGATAGGTGGTTAATTCATTACATCCATCAGACAGGGGCAAGAGATGGCAGTGGCTAGACATGTCCAGGATGGCTTGCCCACAGGAATGCCAAGCTTTCCACAGAGTGAAGGGTTTTGTCAGCCCTGCTAAAGCTGCATGTTGTGGCCTCTAGAGCAAAGGACAGATTTACCTCTCTAAAACTTCTATTTCTGCTTCATTTTAAAATTTTAAGCATCATTTTCGTAGGTGTTGCAAGACTTTCAGGGGGGCTTTGAGGACATCCATGATTTTAACAGGCAGGGTGAGTGAGGGACCTCCTGACTCCTGCAGGTGCCATGCAGAAGGGGTGACCTCGGGCTGGTTGGAGGAAGGGGAGCAGCACAGGGGACCCCACACTGTTGGTGAGGGACAGGACAGGGTTCAGAGGCGTGTGCATCCCCACAGGTCCCTGACAGATGCTGCTCAGGTCGCATTGCTTCTGCCATTTGTCTGTGTTATCAAACCCATCGAGCTGGGTGTGATTTGTGACCCAGCCTCACAGCCTCCATCTCCAGAGGCAGGATGGCAGCGTGGAGAGCAGCCCAGCTTTCCTGTGGTTTTTCCTGAGTCGCTGCTAATTCCTGGCATCCCTTGGGTGAATCAGCCTCCTCCTGATTCATGCAGTGCCTTCCCGACACGTTCGACACCACCCTCGTTTCCATGTTCAGTGAGTTATATATTGTTTTAAATGCTTTGTGACACTTTTAAATGAAGCAGGTAGAGAAAGTAGATTTTGGAAAAGCAGGAACATCTGGTGCTTTCATGTTTTGGTCGGCAACTTTGTGAAATGAATACAGTCCTAGAGAAGAAAAATTACACCTTGAAGCTGGAAGTTAATTAGCTCTGACTCTCAGGTGCTGGGGAGCAGGGCTGGGATTGTCACGTCGCTCTGACTGCGGGTGGTTTCTCACACCTGGCGTGTTTCCAGGCTGTTCTGCTGGGACAAGTGCAGCAGGAGCAGGCTGTTGAGGTTGCTTCCTTCCCACACCCAAAGAGGCTTTTGTGGTCATTTAACTGACCACTTAGTTGGCAGGGCAAAACGCACAGGAAAACAAGGGTCTGGGGTGAATTGTGGTCTTAGGGTTTGAAGCAGATTAGTAGGGGATATTCAGATGGAGCATCTCCTCTTGTTCCTCTGGCCCTTTCACAGCAGAAATCTGAAGGTAATACAAGTAGTTGCAAAATCCGAGTAAAGCTTTAAGAAAGAGAGATAAATCAAAATTTATCTTAAACTTTGTATTTGCATGTTGTTTCTACTTCAGACTGTGCAAGGTTAATCCTTTTTTGACCTTTTTACTCAGTTTTTGGCAAGTGGCTTAGGAAATGCAGCCTCCGGTGTACTAAATGTCATCCTGTCTAAAATACTTAACAACACAGCCTGCACTCAGAAAGCAACACCTTGTTACCACGAGCCATTACAGACAGGTGAAACCAGCTCTTGTGAGCACTTGCCAAGTGATTTTGCTTCTAATAACTAACCATAATAAATGTCGGAGCAGGCATGAGTTGGATATGAGAGCAACAAAATTAAACACTTCTGTGTTTAAACATCATGTTCCTCAAAACTTATTAAACTCGCTTTGTTTGCTGTGGAGTTCATTGGATAAACATACAGAAGGTAATTGTTTTGTTGGGATGTGTTTTAAAACTCCAGAGGTGTTTTACAGGTCATTAATGCTGCACTGGCTCTGGCTGCTAAGCCCCAAAGCAAGCTGGCTCAGGAGAACATGGATCTCTTCAAAGAGCAGTGGGAGAGGCAGGTCCGTGTGCTGACGGATGCTGTGGATGACATCACTTCCATTGATGACTTCCTGGCTGTATCAGGTAACCCGGCTGCAATCTCAGAAATATTCAATCTCCTAAGTGAGCTTATTCTTACAAACCAGTGGGTTTGACATGTTCTGGAGTCCTCTTGGGTTTTGGAAGGGTGGTGTTGGTACATCTCACCTGGGAAGTGTCATCCTCTTCTGAGCGAGGTGTGAGACTGCAGCAGGAGATCAGCGCTCAGGGAGAAGGCACTTGATGTCTCAAGATGTGGGATTGCTGGCTGAACTAATGGTGAATTATCACCTAGCTGCTGCAGACAAACCTCAGCAGAAACTCTGGGGGAAATAGAACATATTTATGGCCAAGTTAGGAACTAACAAAAAAGATGATCCCTCAGTTCACTTCAGACTCTTTTTATGTAAACAGAACTGAGTGTCAAACCGTGGTCATACAAGCTAATTAGAGTAAAGCTGTTCATATAGAAAACGTGACTGTTTATCCAGGTCAGCTTTAGTAAAGTTTTAACAGTTTTTAAAAGAGATTAGATCATTATAATAGATTAATAATTGCATATGACAAAGTACTTGCCAAGGTAGTATATTTTATCGGCATCCTTGATAAAGACCCTATTAGCTGCTGGGACCTAAAAATAATGGAGGCATTTTCATTTCCACGTCCTTTCATTCTGCTCTAATCAGAGGACGTGGAGATGTAACCATGTGAATTGTGACTGCAGTAGTGTTCTAAAATCACCACTGCAAAATGGGGGTCTAATTTCCTTGGTGCAAGCAGGTTTGGGCATGTCAGGTGACCTAAAACCTCCTGTTTCACAGGAAGATGTGTGGAGTCAGAAGTACCAGGTGAACATAGAAAATGGAGTTGAGAAATTAGGGTTCTGAATTAAAAGACCGTATTTTTTTTTAATTATTGAAAAAAAGAGAGAAAACCAAAGCAAAACCAAAAAACCCAACCCAAGTGGTGTTTGTGTGATGAGTCACCTGCATTATCATCCGTGCTGTGCTGTGGCTCCCTGGGTTCTGAATAAAAGCTCTCTTTGCAATGAGTTTGCATGAACTTTGTAGGCAGTTGAATGCCCGAGCTCTTTGTCTGGGTCTGCTCTGGGGCAGCAGGAGCTGCAGATGCACAGCTGTGAGGAACCTATTTCTGGGGAGGTATATTTAGAGGGAACTGTGTGCTGAGGTTTGAGGCTCCACTTGCAGCTTGCCCACGATTGTACAAAGGTTTTAAAGAGGAGAAGCTGTTAGTCCCTGCAAGCACAGCCTGTGTGGAGCTGCTGAACTGCATCCCACGGGCAGGTGAGCCTCCAAAGGGAGCAGGGCACCGGCACTGAGGGATCAGCATCTTTGTGCAGGCCATTCAGGGAGGTGGGGGCTCTGCTTTTGGGGTTGTGGTCTTGCTGGAGTGCTCTGGAGAGTTTCAAGGGCTTGGCAATAAGCAGGGAACGTTTCTTTTCTGGGGTGGTGGCAGTCTGGCTCAGGGGAGAGTTCACCACCCAAAATGAAGCCCTGGAAATGTAGTTTGAAGCTACTTCAGATGCTCAGATGCATTCAGTAATTATTTATATGTGCTATGTTATCAAAGAGATGGTAGAAAAATATTAAAGCAATAAATATTGTTTTAAATATTATTTGTTTGAACTTTGATAAATGTTTTCCATATAAGTACCACAAGTCCAATTCATCTGCTGAAAGTCTGAACTCCTCTTTGGATAAAATTGTGGCAGATATGATTTATGCCAACTGCTTTTTGGGGTTATTAGAATGTTTGTATCAGTTACTAACTGGGATGTAAGCAGAATTTAAAAGAGTCCTTGTGAGTCTGTGTGTGTATATATAAATACATGCAAGAACCACCCCACAGTCCTACAGTGTGGTGTGCTGTCCATCATGAAATGAATGCTTCACTCTTCAGCTTATGCTACAGAATGGTATCAGTTATCCACAAGTAAAGACTTGATGAGAGAGATGTTGGGTTTAGATAACAGCAGAACATCACAGAAGAAGGATCCTTCGATGCACAGCGTTTCAGGCTACAGCATTTCAAGAAGGGTAGAGCAGAGGGGCCCTGTTGAGTTAGGGCAGGGTGTGGGGATGGCTCACAGGAGATGAATGGCAGAGGAGCCCTGTAGCCTAAAGATCTTTCCTATGTGCTCCCAACCGTGAGAGATGAGCAGCTCAGGGAGCTTCAGCATCAGAGGTGCCACTTACTGAACAGCTCTTGACAGATTTTTCTCATTTAAGCTGGTGTTAGTTGTTCTTTCGACCATTATAAACCACTGGCACCTCCATCCTCCTGTGTGAAATTCACAGCTGTGAGTGTGCTCTGTGTGAAGAACCTCCTTGTTTTGGCAGTGTCGCCTCCTTGCTTCATTTGATGCCCCTACTTGTAGTAGAAGATGGTGAAGAGGCTTTTTCCCTCCTCTCTTTCTTCATGCAGTTTGTAAATGCAGAGTTCTGCTTTGTCAGTCATCTGTCTCTTGACTGCACAGTCTTTGCCTGTTTCATTATTTCTCATTTCAGAGCTCTCCTGTACCTTCTGTAATTCCTACCCCTCTTATCTGTGCCTTCCCAAGCACTCAGGGTGTGTTGGTGTGCCTGCTATCTCTGTTCTTTAGAGCAGTTGCTGATAGCACCATGTAATTGTCAAATTCAGTGTTCTGAAATTACCTGGATCTCCTTTGAAATCCTTTTAAAAAAACATTCCATTTGCTGCCTTCTGTTCCTCTGCTGCTGGCAGAGGTTTGTGGCAGAGATTGCCCATCTCAGTGGAACTGTTCTCCTGAAGAGCCTCCCCGTGAACGTTGCCGGGGCCGGGTGATTGTCCTTCCCGTTACAACATGAACAGTGTCTTTCCAAGTGCATGAACGCTCTGGTGTTTGCTCCATGGCCACATCTGCTGACACTGCTGCTCGCCCTGGTTCCTGCAGTGCCCTGTGGAACACAGGTTCCAGCATGGAAACTGTGCTGAGACCTGTCACAGGGGACACAGCCAAGGGGCACAGTTGTGTCTGTGCATCTATGGCTTCATCTCCTGACTGATGCACTTAGATTTCGATGTCCTGTAGCCCCCAGACTCCTTCACAGACAGTTTGGAAAGGGATTGCTCAGTCCCTTTAATGTGGAGGTGGGTGGAGGTGGAAGGTGTTTGGTGGGGGTGGATTGAGGATTGACAGTCGCGGGGGACTTCTTATTCTGTAGCTTTTCACAGTTTAATGTATTTCCTTGTTTGGTCTAAAAATCATTCCTATTGAAAAAATATCTTTTCTCTTACCTTATTTCCCAGCCACACCATTTTCTCTGCAGTTGGGTCCAGTTCCCTTCACCACTGCTATCTGCTGCTGCTGTGAGATGTTTCTCCAGCACAGCGGGAGGAGTTGGTTTTGATGCAGGATGGTGTTCTCCCGTCCCCAGAGGTGCTGGTGGTGCACATCAACATTTCCTGGGCTCTGCCACCCCAGCCTCAGCAGATGGCATTTGGTGCCAGCCACCTGTGTCTGTGTGCCTGTAGGACAGATAGCACTGTGTGTATTTACAAGCACACGGCAGGGTGTCAGATCTTATCTGTTACCATCCAGCCGGAGAGTATAACCAGAGTGGATGCACCGGACAGCCCTGCACTTCCCTGGACCCTCTGCAGGCTGCCCCCTGGGTTATCTTTCTCTAGAAGTGACTTTCTGGCCACTTCGCATCTGCAAAAGACTTTAATGATCAGCAGACGTTTAAATGTTCACCTTCATTTTGTCTGTGCCTTTTATTAAAGTTCAGATAATCCAAAGAGGCTTTTAAATGGTCTGTGGCTTAATTTATTCATTAAGGAATTGCAGCAATAATCAGTCTGTTTTGGCCTGACGCCAAAGCCTGTTCTGTGGGCTGTTGCAGCTCGCAGGACTCTCCTGTTTAAATACTCTGTGCTCCTCACTGAGGCCCCTGTTCACTGCCTGTTCACTGGCTTGGCACAGCACTAATGAACCTGTGCTGCTCTCTCCCAGGGCCACATCCTGCCCTCACCTGAACCTGGTCAGGCTGAGTTGCTTCAGAGGGATTTCACAAGTGTCATTTTTGTCCAGGTTACTTACAGAAGTCTCGCAATATTGCACCTGGCTCTGTTAATTTTATGTAAATCAGGCATAACTTCCCACAGCAATCCTTTCGGGCAGTTCCTCCAAATTCTCTGTCAGCCAACTCTATGAACTTCTTGTCTCTACAAACTCTTGCTAAATGGCTCTTTTACTACCTGCAGAGGGAATAAAAGCTACTTGCAGGAGTTGGCAGTGTAGAATGATTAAGTCAATAGTAAATGACACTGGAAACTCTTTAAGTGACAGAGGAGAAATGTTTCCAGGTTGGTTTCTTACCAAGCAGCCCAAATGCTGGTGTTGGAAGGCGATATCAAAGCATTGGTACTGATACATCAAAGAGGTCTCTAAGAGAGTTTGGAAGTCTCTAATGGCAGTTTGGGAGATCTTTTGGATAGGTTTGCCCAAATGAGGATCCCAATCTCTTTAGGCATCTTCAGAAATATCTTAGGGCGTTTTTACTCATTTTGGGCTTCTTGGACTTGGTAAATGGATGAAAATATCTCTATATAAAAAAGAAAAGAATATTGAAAAGTAAATTGCAAACAGAGGTCTTGGCTGTATTTTTTTTGTTTTCTAAAGAGGCAGTGAGTCCTCAGTGGCTGGAATGCCCTCCCCATAATTCACCTCCTACATGATGTGTCTCAGATTGGAATGGGGGACCAACAGTGTAATATTCTCTGATGGTATGTGTGTGGTTGTTGGAAAACACTGTGAAGGAAGCTAGAAACGTGCACCAGGTGCCCTGGTCTATTAGAGTGCTGAGTGGATTAGGTGTGGTGATGGGCAGGTGCCTCATCACCCCACGCCCGTGGAATGATGGGGGAGTGGTTTGCAGGTATTTGGACTTGGGCAGTCCAGGAGAGGAATAGAGAAAGAAACACGCCAGGGAGAATTCAGCTTTCCTGTTGGTAACACTGAGTACAAACAGGGCCTGCTGGGGGATGGACTGATGACTTTTTGACACCTTCTGTGGAAGGGCAACTGTTGCTGGTCATAGTGAGCTTAAAAATTAATTCTTGACAGCATCTCCATGGAGGTTTTACAGAGCAGGTCCTGAACCGAGCAGTTGCAACGCTGATAACTGCGACAGAAAAGAAGATACTGCCATCTAAATCCTGCTTCTTTTGCCACCAGAGAATCACATTTTAGAAGATGTGAACAAATGTGTGATTGCTCTCCAAGAGAAGGATGTCGATGGCTTAGACCGCACAGCTGGTGCGATCCGGGGCCGCGCCGCCCGAGTCATTCATGTTGTCACGTCGGAAATGGACAACTACGAGCCCGGAGTCTACACGGAGAAGGTGCTGGAAGCAACCAAGTTACTCTCCAACACAGGTAAGGGGACCTTACCCCCAGGAGTCCTCAATTCGTGTTGTTTGAAAACGTGTGGGCAGCTGAGTACTGATGTACCTGTGAAATCTGTGAAAGGCTCCATTTAGTGGAATGAAAATTAGTGGGAGTTACTTGCAGAGCTGCTTCACAGTGAGAAGTGTCATTTTGCTGTGTAAATTGGCTTAAAGGTCAGCAGTGCACAGAGTGTCCCTGTGTGTGCTCAGTGTAATGGAATGGGCTGGGGAAAGCAAAAACTCTGGGAATGAGTCCCAAATGGTGAGTGGTGGCTTGAAGGTTGTGCTGGGATTGTCTTGGAGTGTTGGACCAGGGTCTGCAGGTGTTCAGGGTCCAGAAGGAGCATCACATTGGCTCACCAGAGTAAATCTGGAGTAATGATTAGGGTAAATTTTGTAGAGTATCTTCACAACTTTTAAAAAGCGTTGTAGGTTGTAGTGCCCCACACCTAAATACCAAATCAGATGTTTCCTCTGAACTAGCTGGTGACATCCACACAGGGTAAGGAAGGATTCTGGTTGCTTCAGTGAGTGCTCTGCCAACCACTCGATGCCTTTTGCTTTAATTACTTCGATGAAGAATCAAGGGTGACACAGAAGAAACAGCAAATTGTAACTGGCTCTGGGATGTTCTTCCTGGGCACAATGAGTCACTGAAATGCAGCAGTACAAACTTCCCTCTTCCAGTGCCTTCTTCAACTTGAGCTTCCTGGTGGTAGTATAACTTTTTTCCCCAAAAAATGATGTACATCTACAGGGAACATCAAATAAACAATAATTTTATTGCATAGTTTCTAAGGGCTTCTCTGGGTGTTTTCTCCTTGTCCACTGGACGAGTGTGATAAACTTGTCACTGTCTAAGGGGAAAACACCAAATAGCAGCAATGTAAGGAGAAATAGAAGTGGATTAAGACTTGAGCTCCTGTAACAAGTGTTTGGAATTTAAACGGAACAGCTTGCAGGGACAGTTAAAAGTGAGGCACACAGCAGGCAGTGGCACCGGGGTGGGGACTGACCTGTTCCGTGTTCTGAGCTCAGTTATGCCGCGGTTTACGGAGCAAGTGGAAGCTGCAGTGGAAGCCCTGAGCTCAGACCCCGCTCAGCCAATGGATGAGAACGAGTTCATCGACGCCTCCCGGCTGGTGTACGACGGGATCCGCGATATCAGGAAAGCCGTGCTGATGATCCGGGTGAGCACAACCTACCTCCACAGCTTCCCCTGCCTGCACCGAACTGACAGCCATCCTATAACTGAGAGCAGACAGCAGAAGATTTTCATTTAGCTCCTATTAACATTCACTCTTAAAACTGCTAATCACTGTGGAGCACTTGAGCAGTATGTCCTGTTTCACATTCATTACCCAGATCTGAGCATCGATGATAGCCCGAGTTGTGATGCTAAATACCCTTCACGCATCTTTTGTAATCTCATGGTAATGCCTTGCTCGTTAATGTGCTGAAATCAGTGACCTTTAAGTTAACAGCAGCAAATGAATTCAGAACTACAGATGCTTGTTGATAGTTTGAGAGCTTAGAAATAAAACCTAATGGCTCTTTATTAAGTAAATTTTAAGAATTAATGCTGGTTGGTCAGAAGCAAGTTGAGCTGAGTTCTGTGTGTAGTTCCTAGAGCGTATAATTTGTTAATTGGCTAACCTGGGTAAACAGGGGCAGCTCACAGAGGCCGTGTCTCTTGTGTTGTTACATGGTTCAGGTGCAATGAGTGTGACTTGGAAGCCCTGATTTCTGGCAGGTCAGGCAGCGTTCAGCTGTTGGGAGCAGAAAGACTCCTGCAGTTGGTTGAAGGGATGCAGAAAAGAAAGTTCTGGTTGAAGCTGATCTAAGGGCCTATTTCTTGAATCTTAGTGGGGCAAAAATGGGCAGAAGCCAGACACAGAAAAAACAAATACTGGGAGTTTATTCCTTTTTTTATTCCATTTCCTTGTACTCCTCCGACTCTGAGAAACTGCCTTCATCTTTCAGAGTGGTATCCATGGCAGATGCAGTTTGGTGATGGGTAAATAAAGGTTGCACAGCCCCAGAATATATGTGATTACAGTAACCATTGCAATAGTGTCTTCCGTGTGTGCTGCTTAAAGCAGAGGATCAGATGGCAAAGAAGAAAAGCAGTAACCACATTCGTGCTCTCCGGGGAGTTTTTTTCAAACTCACGCTCAGGATTTAGAGACAAGCAGTGCTAGATGAAGATATCAATGCCTTCCTGCTATGCAGACAAACCAATTTGATTCACCCCCTGCTGAAGTCCTTGTTATTCAGGACATGGAGGCCTGGCTGCCAGCTCCACGTGGGCAGTAATTAGCCGAGCTGGCGCTGCCAGGATTCCTGACGTTCCCCTGTGCCCGGCTCCCATGTCAGGGTGCCACGGCTTCACTGCAGCTGCCAGCAGCACAGGCAGCTCCCTGGTGACACAGCAGCAACCTGTCAAGAAGTTAAAATGTTGGCATTTGTCATCCAAAGGGTTTATTTAAGGATGAAAGAGCCATCCAGGTGGAGATCCCAGGCCACCACTTGTCCAGGTCCTGGTGTAGCTGCGCTCGCCGGGGGTGTGGCTGAGCTCGGTGGGGCCAGGCAGCTGATTCAGTGGCACTTGTTCTTTACAGGAACCACCAGCAAAAGTCACTCAGACACATCATTTTTGTGTCTGTGCAGTGTATTTTCCAAACTGGAATCTCACTGTAATTGTTTTTATTGAAGAGAAGCTCTTCCTTCCCTCCCTGCGCCCCAGGCAGCCACTCCTCACCACAGAGGAGGCTCTGCCCTTGGTGGCAGGTTGAAAGGCAGAGTTACACTTTGTGTATCCCCAGAGGGATGAATGGGCAGAGAGAGGAGGCTTGAGACTCACAAACAGTTTGTAAACACACAACAGAACTGTTTCCTTTATGTTTTTTAATGTTTTTTAAAAATTGATACACCGAGCTACTTCTTAGCATTTGTTCTGGTGATTTTGTGGATATACCCTGTTCTCCAAGGCCTGGAGAGGAGATGGTGGCTGGAATACCCAAGGTCTTGATTATCAGTGTACTCACCTTTGCTTTCTGGCATCTGTTTTGAGTATCCATATCTATTTTAGCTGTATCACAATGTGCCCATATTGAAAAACAAGTCTGTGAAATTCAAATCACAGGAAAGAAATTTCAAGAACAGGGACTTCATTTGCATCTTATCTGTTAATCACAATTTATTGCATATATTGGTGAAGTTCTTTGTTAGTCCAGCTCTGCAGAATTGTCATGAAGTGCCACTCTGACAAAGATGTACTATTTTGACAAACATGCTGTTTAAACTTGATAAGCTTTATAAAAAGTTTGCCAGCTACAGACTGGCAGTAACAAAAATAAATCCTAGGCAAGCAGGAACTGGGTCAGATGTGCTCAGCCTACAGCATAAAAGCTGGCCCTTACTAGCTAAAATTTTTCAGCTTTTCCTGGGGGATAAGAATAATTTTTGAGCTATTTTATCTATTGTTAATTTAGTCGGTGCTTTGATTCCTAATTGTGCTAAAGACACCGTCTGTGGTTCTGAAGCAGCCCTTGGAGCTGTGGGTAATTCCAGCTTCAGAATCTCAAGTGAAGCTTTTACATTTCATCGAGTCGCAAAAATGCTGCTCGTTCTGCAAACTTTTTTCTGTCTGTCAGCTGCTGAGTGCATTAGTGTCCTGACAAATCTCAGCTGTTTAGTTACTGCTGTGTAATTCTGGGGATCCCTATGGTGTTTAACATGAGCAGTCAAGCATATATAATCACATGTGCTCACGAGCTGGATACAGTCCCTGTATTTACCTTTTTGTTGAAAACATTGAATAATTTTTACCTTCACTGATTTCCACTCTCTCTGCTTGAAAAACAATATTCTTGTTGATTTTCAGAGCCGTGAAATCTATTGGTTGACTCTGACTGAATGCTTTTTCCTCAGACTCCTGAAGAGTTGGATGATTCTGACTTTGAGACCGAGGATTTCGATGTCCGAAGCAGAACCAGCATCCAGACTGAAGATGATCAGCTCATTGCTGGACAGAGTGCAAGGGTAAGGCAGAAATCTGAGCATTATAGAACTGTGACCTGCCTTCAAGAAACAGTTTGAGTTGCTCTGAAGATCCAGGCTGAGTTATTTGGGGGTGGTGATGAAAATACTGGATGAGAAAAGTGATGTCCTTTGTTTCCAGTATTGTTCTGAAAAGGAGGGGGAGTGAAATGCAGCAGTGTTGGTCTGATGGATGTGGGAAATGTCTGTGGTTTATTTTGGATGTTCTGAAAGCTCAAAATCCTTTTAATATCAACTAATTACTTCATCTTTTGATTCCACAGACATTGTAGTCTCTACCTACAATGCAGGGAGGTAAAGGGCAGATGGTTCCATTGGATTAACCTTATTTTTAACAGACAAATACTAACTTTATGGGCAACAAATTGTTACAGAAGGTCTTCTCACACACGTGCTGGTGTGTTTGGCCACTGAACATGTATCAGGACAACGCTGAGAGGAGTTCAGAAATGACATCATTTCAGCTAACTGCGTTTGCTATGACTGTTAAAAATGAAAGCATTGGTAGGCAATATATAGGCATTAATAGGTGAAAACCTGGAATCAGTACATTGAAGGAAAGCCAGGCCTTACCTATTGCTTTTATTTGACATGTCCCTTCTGGGTCGATAACAATTTACGCTCTTGGGAAGGTGCCACAGCGGATTTTTCATGGAGGCTCTTTTAGCCAGGCCTTATTTATCAACCCTCTGCCACGGTGGCTTGGGAATTACACTAACTGAGAGTGCTTTCTGTGCTCTCCTTCCTTGAACCAGCCTGTGCCCTCTCCCCCTTTTATTTAAATGCAGACATTGCTCATTTACCTCTTAGCACAGCTGCTGCCAGAGGATTTTTAGTAACAAAGACTCCTGGAGTGCTCCTGGTATTTATGAAGGCCAGGGCATGGAGTCTCATACAGGCTGTAAACCCTCTCCAAGAGATTTTGTTCAGGAGCAAGCACATACTCTTTATTTTTACTTACTCTGTGTCCTCAGTATACATCTTTCAAAACAGCACAACTGGCTTTTTGCAGGGAAGAGACTGGTAATATTTGTTATTATCCTCAATACCCAAGTGGAACTTAATTTTAAAAAGTTAAAATTTTCTATAAAAGACAAGTTTGCCCTCTTCATTCAGTTTTCCTTCAAGGGATGGTAATAAGTGGCAGATTTGTTTGGAGTCTTAACAGTTTAATCATGCAAATGGCCATATTTTAGGTGTCAGCTTGTCTTTCTGGGCACTCTTTCTTAAGAAAGAGCATAAACTTTGATTCAAAATGGAAGGAAATGGCTCTGTAAAGCCTCTAGGTAGAGGACTGCTATAAAAGTTTTATCCCCCATCTACATGACTGAAATTGGTTATTAGTGAAATGTTCCAAAAAGCCTTCTGCAAATGGCAGCAGGAGGCAATGTGAGAAAACTCTCTCTTTCAGGCTATCATGGCTCAGCTCCCTCAAGAGCAGAAAGCCAAGATCGCTGAGCAAGTCGCAAGCTTCCAGGAAGAAAAGAGCAAATTGGATGCTGAAGTGTCCAAATGGGATGACAGTGGCAATGACATCATTGTCCTGGCCAAACAGATGTGCATGATTATGATGGAAATGACAGACTTCACCAGGTGAGGCTCTGTGGTTTGTGCACGCCCAGAGCTGGCTGCGCTGCCGGGCGTTGGTGGAACACGGTGCGAGCACTCCGAGGAGCCTGCTTATAATTGCCTTTCAATGTTGTCCTATTCAAGCCTGCATATTAACTGGGGAGATGCATTACTGTGCACTGACTGGGTGGTAATAACTGTTCAAATTGATCTACAGATACACAGCAGTTATTGCCTGTCTTTCTTTCTTTCTTTAGGGTGATTCTTGTCCCAAGGAATATATATATATTTGCTCAGTTCTTTACAACATTAAATTCTAAGGGCTTCTCAATATTGCTATACTGCAGAAATAGTTCCTAGCACAGTTATTTGCAGAAGAAAGAGAGGTTTTTTGATGCCTTTCGAAATTAATTTACCAGATTTTATACAACACTATTTTTTAAATTTGATGTTCCATTCCATAAAAATTGCAAATCTGGCTTCTAAAATGTTATCTCTTATCATCATGGGGTTGCTTAAAGCAGTAAAATTTAAGATGTTTTTATTCCTAGATTTAAGCTAAGTGTGGGGAGGAGCTGGAAGAGGGTAACTGTCCTGAACCCAAAGGTGCTGTAATGGTTGCACCTGCCTGTTTCTGTCCAGCCTTTTTGCTGCAGTTTGGTGAGGAGTCACTTCCAGCACTGCATGGAACAGAGTGAGAATAAGTGATGTAGAGTTCACTGGTCTGGTTCCCTGGTGCTGGAAGGTAACCTCTGCTCTGTTTTGCAGAGGTAAAGGTCCCCTGAAAAACACGTCAGATGTGATTAGTGCAGCCAAGAAGATCGCAGAGGCTGGGTCGAGGATGGACAAGCTGGGCCGGACCATTGCTGACCACGTAAGTCACAACCCATTCCCGTAAGCCTCCAGCACAGATGAGCAGCAGCAGATCTTTAAGTGCTGCAGACATGATGAGCAGAGAGAACGAGTTTAGTTTGGGGGGTTTTAACTGATTTTCCAGATTGCTGCTGGAAAATTCTAGCCTTTCCTGTCTAGCTGCTCTGCTGCCACCCTGAGCAGTGTAGGTAGCTGAGGTTGCCCAGCACTGACAGAGCAGCTCCTTGGCTGAAATCAGGCCCCTGCCATTTTAGGGGAGCAATCTGCCAGCGCTGCCTCAGGTCACACAGCCCAGGCCAGGCTCTGGGACTGGGCAGGACTGGGACTGGGCTCCTGTCACACTTGGAAGGTGGCCAGTGCTTCCCAAAGCAATGTCAGCACTGCCTGGGCAACTCCCTCCGAATTGCACCTGGCCTCTTGCACAACCTGGAATATTATGTTTGAGGCAGCTTTTTAATATTAACAATTTTCAGATGCCCCACAGCCTTGAGTGGTGATGTCAGAGCTCTCTGGTGTTGTTTTCACAGTCAGAGGTGATGAAGACTTGGAGCAAGGCCTGCAGTGACCCAAGTGTGGCTGTGCTGTCCCAGTATTTAAAAGGAATTTTTACAGGATTGAATGAGCATTTCCAGCTCGGGGGGTTTATGCAATGCCCATCCTGAGCCACTTAGAAACTGGGTTGGGCCTTGCCAAAGCACCTCTGGTCTTAGCCCACACCCAAACTGCAGAGAAACATCAGCATTAGTAATAATATTCCACCTTCAGGAGTGACTCTGAAATGCAGGGAGGTTAACTCTGAGATCATGGACTTTTGTTTTGTCCAGCTGTCCCTTGCTTTGCTGTCCTTCCCTGGGTGGAAATTTGTAATGCAAGGTTTTAACTGAACCCATGTCACACGGGAAGTGAATCATTGCAATGCAGATCCCTCATTTAATGTTGCATCCAGAGGTGCTTGTCTACACCCTGATGTATTAATGATGCAGGAAGAAATGTTCAATGGGGAGATAAATTTGAAAAGTGTTTCTTTAAATGGGTCTCCTTGCTATAGCATTTTGAAAGCCATGTTTCTGGGAGAAGCAGGTGTGCAGCTGATGTAGGCAAATGAAGCAAGGAGCAGTTTGTGTTAGAGATCTCAAGGGATCTTGTGCTGAAGGTTTACAATGCTTTTTTTTTTTTTTTTTTTTAATTCACATGTTTTATGCAAACTTGGTGTATGGCATTCTGCACGAAGCCATTTCGAAATATAAAAGAAAACTAAATGGCTCCTTTTAGTAGCAGTAAGGTCCTTAAAAATGTAAAAGATTAAGCACATGTTTGAAGATAAATACGAGCAGCACTGTACAGTTAGTCATTTTGACAAGAATATAGCTTTTTCCCCAACTCCATACTCTGCTAATACTTTCAGCTTGCATATTTCATTAGATCTGCTTACATTCTCTTTGGAAACATGTTAATGTGGAATGGTGTGACAGTTACAGAGCACAGAGCACTGTGCCTAATCCTGGGAGCAGAGGATGGGTTTAATGTCCTGTGTGCTGGGTGACACCAGTGACTCATGACCCCACGTGTTACCATGGCAGGAGCTCCCCAGCTCCTGCTCTTGGGCACTTCCACAGCAGATCTCCTTTGAAACCATAAAAGCTGCTACCCAGGGTGTTTCACATCTGTTGGGAAAGGTCTCACCATCAGCCCCAGGTTTTCCCCACAGTGTTCCATCTCTCAGCAGAGGCTGCTTGTTGGGAATGGGGGAATACAGAGCAATTATGAGCCCAGGAATGACAATGATTTGCTGCAAGGCAGGGATTCTCTGTATGATTTATTTTTCCAGTGTTGAAATGCCTACAAAGCCAAAGACAAATTCTGTCATTTTTTTTTCTTTGATAGTGTGGGGAGGCTGAGATTGCATCAGTTCAGATCATCCAGGGGAAAGGAGCTGGGGGTAACCAGTAAAAGGCTCCAGCAGCCTCTTGCTGGGATGACTGGTTCCTGGCTGCAGGGGCTGGTGTGGGCAGGTGCCCACGGCACAGGCTGGTGGCAGCTGCTGGCACGTCACCAGTGCCCATCCTGCCAGGGATCTGCCTCCCCAAAACATCTGCTGACAGCTCCTCCCGGGCCCAGCTGGCACCCAGGGCAGGGGGCATTTGGTGGGAATTCCTGAGGCATTCATTCCCCAAACTGGAGATGCAGTGGGAGGAGGAAACACCTCTGGTTGCTGGCACAGCTGCAGACACCTGGGGAGGGGGTTGTGTGCTTGTGTCCAGCAGCACACACCAAGAGCTATTCTGTCTTCCTCTGCACCTTTTCTGTGCAAAAAGGAGGGGAAAAAAGTGATTCTGGTTCTCTACAGGCTCAGCTGGGGCAGTAGGAAGTGAATGTGGGTGTTTGTTCTGTCCAGGATGGACCCTGGTTTGACTTGGAGCAGCCAGTTCTGCCTGCAGCCGCCGCTGAGTGTGTGGCAGCATCTCAGTTTGGGGGGTTTGGGAAGGTGGGGGTGACCCCCAACACACATTTGTTTCCATCTCCACTGCAGGGCCGTGCTGTGGAATCCTCCCAGGCCAGCTCTGCAGACAGGGGTTTGTGTCTGTGCCTGCTGGAGGTTAATACAATAATGTAATCTCTCCTGATCAGTGTTGAAATTGTTGCCTTTTGGGTTTTTTGGTTCTTATCTGAGTGCTCCTGCCTGGGAAAGGACACGGCTCATACAGGCACCCGCAGAGCCTTTTGTTGATGCTCTTTTTCATCCTGTGTTGCATCTCTATTTAAACATCATCTGTCTTTGAGCTGAGTCCTCTATTATGCCTGCAGAAATAGCACGCACAGGAGAGGTTGTGGTTTTCCAACTGACATCATATTGATATACAACAACCCAATGATGATTCCCATTCCTCTGCTTCCCCACCAGTGTTATGCTGCCTTCAGAACGTGCTGCCTTAACAGTGTCTTTCCTTAAACAGTTCCTGTAACCCCATAAAGTAGCTGGCGTTGTTGAGCCACCCCTCTGATGTGCTGTGTTGTGCATTTGCCAACCCTCACCCCCTCCACCGCTGTGCTGCTCCCTCGCTGTGTTAGCTGAGCTCTTTGGGAGATGGAGAGTGGTTTCCAAAATGGTAATTGGAGCTTTTTGGTGGCTCTTTGGCCAGTGCTATTTGGGGACTTTCTCTAAAACATCTTGTACTGCTGGCTAATATTGATTAGCTTAAAAAATTACCCTGCAAGCTTTGCTGCTTCGTTAGGCAGGGTTTCCCTGCCCTGATGGAAGCAGTGTGCCCACGCTGAGACTTGCAGTGACTTTGGGTGTTCCATCACCTTCCTTGGCACTAAGAAAGTGGTTTCTGTTACTTGATGGGGTCAGATGCCCAAAAAACCACTCAGGTCTCCACAGCCTGATGTGCTTGTCCCAGCTTGCCACCAGTGCCCTGTGTGAGTTCTGTCTGCCACAATCAGTGCTGGGTTATCTCTGCTGTGCCCAGAGACCACTTTGGCTTAGAAACCCACTTGTTCTGGCCCTGGAAAAGCACATGTATGTATGTATTAGCTACAGTCCCCTTCATTTCAGAGTTAAATGTCTGTTCTGGCACATCAGTGACTGATTGTGGGAAGCAAATGCTTCATGTGACCATGACCCCTGTTTGCACACCCGTGCCTGGGCAACACAACTTCAGTTCTGGTTCAGTCTGCGTGGGTGCCTTTTTCTACAGGGAAACATCAGTTCCTGCCTCCCTCTCATAGCTGAGGAAAGAAGGCCTGCAGGGAGAATTAGGGCTCAGCCCCTGCTGCTGACACCCAGGAGGGGATTTTTTACCTAGGCCTGGAAGGGGAGGAGGGGCTGTGTGGCCATCAGCAATAAAGCTCAGCTGGAGTGAAGCATTAAGTAATGAACTGATGCCACATTTGAGATTAATCCTCCAATCATGCCATGTCCATTATGAGTCTTTGCTGGATGGTCTGTTGCACAGGATCAGGGTCCTGGGAGAAATGAGATTCTGATGTGAACAGGGGTGTGTGGAGAAAAGCTCTTAAATCACTCTGGATGGGGTGCAGCTGTTTGGAAGGATGGAGATCACTGCAGGGTCTGCCTGTGGTCCTGTCCCTGGGTAATGCCAGGTGAATTCCTGCTCTGCTGATACAGGGCTACAGCTGAAACAATGCTGGGTACAGCCTGCCTCAGTGCAGAAAATGAGGCTCACTGTGAGTCTGATAGTGGTTGTCCAGGAGACCTGTGGATGCAGGGTGGGAAGGTGAGATGGTGATGGGCAGAGTGGCCATTTCAGTGGAAGAAAAAGCACAGGAGTACATGTTGGGGTACATGTGGGGTACAAAGTGATACTTCTCTGGGGTTCAGAGCTGGGTTTAATGAGGTGTGTGTGGCACAGCGGGATGTACATCAGGTGGATGTGGAGCTGCAGGTGTTCTGTGTGTGTGTAACACCCTGCTCTGGTCAGAAATGCTTATGGCAGCATGAGGTGTCCTCACCTGCAGGACAGGCTGTGACATCCCCCCTCCCTGCTGCAACAGCTCCTGCCATCAGGAATATATCCAGTCTGAGGTAAAGGTCTGTCTCGTGGGCACTGCTTGCAGCACCATCAGGGCTGCCTGGAGGGCACAGCCTGTCCCAGTGTTCCCAGCTGGGAGCTGTTGGGTGCTGCTGTAGGTGCAGTGGCTGCAGGGGCAGGAGTGTGGCACGTGCCCTTGGCCTTACTCAGCAGCAGCACCAGCCTTTGGTGGGCAGAGGGTCTGTGGAGGTGAGTGTGTGCCATCTGCTCTGTTCCCTAGTCCTCAGCAGCCCGTGGGGCTGAGGTGGCCCCTGTGGGACGTGCTGCGGGCACTGCATCGCTGCTGCTCCTGCAGGGACTGCAGGGCTGGCCTGGGCAGCAAAAGCCTCCCCACAGCCCTTCTGTCTGAGGCCTCCAGAGCCTGTTCTGGACTGTGGCTGCCCCTCAGGACCCCCTGTGGCTTGGAAATCCAGCATGAGACTGGCTCGTCCATCATCTCCCCAGTCAGCTGGGGTGGCCCTTTGGCTCTGTCCCAGACAGCGACAGCTTCCCAGACTGCACGGCAGCCTCCACGTCCTGCCGAGTGTTCCGTGCAAAGCTGAGAAAGTTGCCTTTACCTTCCAGATGAGTGCTCCAGCCAGCACCTTCAAATGGGACTGCGTGCCTGGGGAGGAACCTGGTTTGCCCCTGCTGAGAAAGGGCAGCAGAGTCAGGAAAATATCTGTTTGCTGCGTGTAATGGAGTAGCTGTTGGGTTTATCATTTCCGAGCTCGAGATACTTCAGATTGAGAATCAAGACAGGAATTGGTAACATCTGCTAGTTGCAGCTTGAGGTCTGGGATATCAAACCATTGCTGCTGTGTCCTGCACAGTGTACAGGAAGGACCTTTTATAGTTAACAAAGCTGCTCTGGAGAGGCCAGGTAGCCCTTGTCCTCCTGAGGAGCTTGAAGGGCAGCCTGCAGCTGAAAGGAGCCCAGAGGTGTGTCCAGTGCTGCCCCTGTGTTCTCTGCCCCGTGTTTCAGGTTTTAGGTGCATTTAGTGCTGCCCAGGGACTGCTCGTTTGTCTCTTGAAAGCCAGATCTCTGCAGGGAGGGGAGTGATCTCTGGAGACGTTCCCTGTTGCAGGGGGAGGTGTCTGGCTTCTCCCTCCGTGGTTTGTGTCCCAGATGTCCTGCCTGCAGAGTCACACTTGTCCTTTGTCCCGCAGTGCCCTGACTCTGCCTGCAAGCAGGACCTGCTGGCGTACCTGCAGCGCATCGCCCTGTACTGCCACCAGCTCAACATCTGCAGCAAGGTGAAGGCTGAAGTGCAGAACCTCGGCGGGGAGCTCGTCGTCTCCGGGGTACGTGTGAGCTCTGACGTGTCTGGCTTTTCCTTCCAGAGGGAGCAATTATTCCAAGCTGAGCTTTTATGTGAAACACTATAGAATATAGACAAGAGGTTTTGGAGCATTCAGAGTTTTAATGTATGCAGAGTTTATGTTGCTGCCTCGTTGCTCTGGGAAGAAACTCTCACTGTGAAAATACAGACTTCACATTTCCTTACTCACCGGTGTTTGCAGACAGATTCCCTTCACCTCTGCGGAATCTGCTGGTTTTCCAGGCTACTTTTCACTCTTAGTGAGGTTAAATCACTTCAATCAGCACAGCTAAACCTGCCCCACGTCTCTGCACGGCCTTGGAACATGCGGGGGTCCTGCAGTGCTCCAGAGATGTTAATATTTCAGGATAGCTGTGCCCTGAAGAGTGCAGGGATTTTTAGTGGCTGCTCTGGTTTCTGACAGCTGGAAGCTGCCCCAGGCCAGCCTGCTTTCTTATTCCAGCCATTACTTTGCAAATAATTTCTCCACTGTAGTTCATGAAATGCTTCCTCCTAAGAGGAATCTTTATGATGGATATCTGGGAGGGGGGAAGTGGAGCTAAATTCCTAATTTCTCCTGGCATACTCTTCCTTCCCCAGGACAGGCATGTTTGATCACCTGGGCTTTTGCCCAGATATGTCAGGACTGAGGTAGGAGGTTTTGGAGAAGGGGCAGAAGTGGCTGATAGTCGAGTATTGCTCCCTGAATCCTTAACAGCAGATGGAAAAAAACTTACCACCCTCTGCCATTTTGATATCACAGAATCATGGAATGGGTTGGGTGGGAAGGGACCTTAAAGCTCATCTTGTCCCTCCCACCATGGGCAGGGACACCTTCCACCAGCCCAGGTTGCTCCAAGCCCCGTCCAACCTGGCCTTGGACACTTCCAGGGATCCTGGGGCAGCCACAGCTTCTCTGGCCAACCTGTGCCAGTGGTATTTTCCAGTGATACCCTGTTTCATATTTCAGATGGTTAAACTTACCAGCACAGGCTTCCCTCACACTGCAGGTAGAGCTGTGGGACAAGAGCCCTGGATCAGCAGCAGCTGTGGCAGCTCAGCAGGAGCTGCAGCTGGAGCAGAGGGAGCTTAGGTGGGGATGAACACCCTTGCACAAGCCTAGCCCATCTGAGGATGATGGGCTGTGCTGCCCCTCCTGCTGTGCCAGTCCCCTGCTCGTGTTCCCAGCCCATGGGATCCAGGAGCTGCGATGGAACGTGCTCCTGTGGCTGCTGTTCCGTGCCTGATGTCCTGGGAGCTGGAAGGCTGAAGGCATCGTGCTGTTAAAGAAGGAGAAGTGTCATTATGCAGTAATAAGTATTGCAGGGTTTCAGTGCAGTTACTCAGTGTCTCTGGGATTTACATCCCCTCTGCCATAAATTAGTCATAGGAACAGCCTGGCATCTGTACTCTGATCTCCTGGGTTTATCCCTTCTCCTCCAGTCTGTCCACTGGGGCTGGATGTTGCCAGCAGGAGTGTTAAGCTTCCATCAGATAATCAGATGAAGACCTCTGCCAGTCCAGAGACATCACCTGTCTAAGAGCAGAATTGTGTTCAGAGTTAACACCCTTCCTGTAGAGCAGAGAGTGCTGTGAGAGCAGAGCCACAGCCCAGGTGGGCAGAGCTCACACTCGGAGCAGTCTGACAGTTCATTTAGTCAAGAACCTTCCTGCTCCCCTTGCATTTAATGGGATTCTTCCTGCTGTGGTGATCCATGGAAACAGTCAAATGCAGTGGAAGAGGTTTCCAGGCTGGGATGAGGGCAGAGCACACGGGTTTGCTGGAGGGCACAGCCCGACCTGCTGCTGTGGCACTCACAGTGGGTGGGAAGGAAGGTGCCAACACCCTGAGAAAAGCCACCCCCCCTGCCCAGCTGGGTTTGCTGCTGGACAAGCCATGGCTTCAAGGAGAAACTTTCCCCAAGAAACTTCCTGTCTGCAACACCAGGATTTGAGTGTGTAGAGGCAGCAGAGCTCCTGTGTCAGCTGAGCAGAGGTGCTGAAACCCTGCCCTGGACCAACCCCTTCCCACACCAACCCCT